GACCAGTTGCTGGAGAAAGATATTATGTTTAGTAAGGTGGAGGGTCAGAGAAAAAGAGGAAGACCGCCAACGAGATGGACTGGCCACATGGCAGCATTGATGGACTCAAGTATGGCAACAGTAGTCAGGTTGGCCCAGGATCGGGCAGTGTTAAGTTCGATGGCAGATAACAACAACAACAAATCCCTCATGAACAAAATGCAAAAATTCTCAACAAATTCCTAGCCAACAGAATCCAACAACTTATCAAAAATAATACACTGGGGATCTGGGACTCTGCAATTCAAAACATCCTTGATGCCAGACATGACACAATAAATAATATTCTTATCTTATTAAAGAGATCTATCAAATTTCAAAGGACCTAAGACTGGAGAGCACTTCCTCAGCTCCCTAGCAGTGGCTGGCTATGTGACACAGTTCTGGTAAATGAGATTTAAGTAGACGTTCCTGGGGGAGGTCTTCCTTTCCATACACAAACTCTAGAGAGAAGGCTTTTCTCTAGAACTTTGCCTTCCCCTTTCTTCCTCCTTGGAACACAAATGTGATCCCTAGATTCTGGAAGCTCCACTGACACCTGTTCAGCATTGTAGCAACACAAATCTTTCCCCTGACAGACAGGTGATGACTATTCAATAGCTGTATTGGCCAGGAATTGAACACAGGTCTCTGAATGAAAGTAAAAAAGCAAGAATAATTGATGTGTTCAAGCCATGATGTTAGCAAAAAACAAAGAATGCACCATGAGTTGCCAAAAGAATGAACAAATCTGTTTTAGAAGATAACATAAGAAAGGATGTTAAAACTTCAATGTGCTTACTTTGGACACATCATTGAGAAAGACCAATTGCTCTAAAAGGATATCATGTTTGGTAATTCTACTGGAGAGGTGTAAGTGAAAGGATTCTTGCCTCTGGAAACCTAACAAAAAAAGAGGAGATGGATTTGCACAGTGGCAGCAGCAAAGGGCTCAAGTATAATAACAACTGTGACATATGCACAGAACTGAGTTCCATCAGGGTATTTTATTTGATCAGGAACTTTACAATGGAGAGAAAGGAAAAATAAAATACCCTGATGGAACACAGTTCTACTCTGACACACATGGGATCGCCATGACTCTACTTGACTGTTTATTGTTGTTAGGAGCCATGGAGTCAGTTCCAACCCATAAAGACCCTATTCTCAACAGAACAAAAGACTGCATTGTGATTGGTGACCACGCCCGACACCGATAAGGGGAAGTGAGGGGAAAACAGCAATGAAGCAGTGAGCTAAGGCCTACAATGTTCAATAGATTTCTGTGAACCTGGGTGAAGACCTGGTTGGCCAACAGTGTGGCAAGACCTGGGGACTCTTGGGTCCAGAGTCAGTGACATAGCCACAGAACTAGAGTGGAGAGTGAAGCGTCCAACAGATAAGAAGAGAGGGCATATGCACAAGAACACCCAC